CTGTAGCTGGGGGCAAAGGTCCCCACAGCAGAGCCAAACAGTGGGAAAGTGTAGACCCCTGGCACCACGTGGAAGGGAGCTACCCAGGTGCCTCCTAACCCGCGTCTGGCCAAGATGAAGCAATGACCCTGAGCCGGCAGTCCTTGGGGGCAATGAGTGCTACCCTGACTTCCAACACTGAGTCTCCACCTTTCTTCAACTCCCACAGCCTTCCAACAAGTTCCTTTTTGGCTGAAGTCAGCCAGTGCCTATCTCTGCTGCTTTTAAGCATAGCCCCCAAGGAAATATCATTAGTAATAATTTAAATAACCAAAGAATTCCAAGTGGGTGCCAGGAGGAAATGGTGGAAGTGAGTAGGCAGCAAGTCCCGACCTCCTTACAACCGGGAAAGAAGGCAGAATCAGGACTTTACTCTGGGTTTACACCGGGATTAGAGGAACTGCAAAGAACAACTGGAACAAGTGTTGGTCTTAAGAGTGACTAGGCCAAGCTTGGCTCAGAGGTGACTACAGTAAGGAGGGCTCAGTGTATCTCTTCAAGTGGTGCTGACACTGGGATCAGCAGAGGTCACACTGAATTAAAATATCCTTATCCGGATGTCCAGTCAACCCAGGGCTCTTAAGAAAAAGAAGCTCACAAAGTTGTTCTTCACTTAGAAGAAGTCACAACTCTACTGATCGATGGGTAGACATATGCACAATCTGAAAGGGCAGGGAACAAACTGTCCCCCCTGACAGTGGCTGGAAGGAGCAGCCACCCTGGTTCTTGGAGATGATTGCAAAACAGGGAGCAGAGAACTGTTTGGATTTCAGATGCATTAGTGATGAAAGAGACAAACTAGATGCAAAGTTGAGGAGAATTTAGTTTCCTGAGTATATTCCCAAAGGTGAGGCTGGAAAGCTGATGGGCAAGACCATGAGGTGTCATACAGGTAACACTCAGGTGTTTGGACTTTGCCAGGTGGGGTGGCGCACACCTGTAACCCCAGCGGCTCCTGAGGCAGGAGGATCATGAGTTAAAAGCCAGCCTTAGAAAATTAGTGAGGCCCTAAGCAACTCGGCAGACCCTGTTTCTAAATAAAACTAAAAAGGGGCTGGGGATGTGGTTCAGTGGTTAAGTGCCCCTGGGTTCAATCCTTGGTACCAAAAACCAAAGAGGTTTGGATTTCATCCTGAAGACGCTGAGAGCCAGTGAAGAAACCCTAACAGAACAGCGAAGTTAGGTCTCAGAATCAGAACGGTGCTCAGCAGGCGGGTAAGTGGTGCCTCAGAGAGAGGTCCGAGCAGAGGAGCAAGACCCGGGGCTGCTGCCGTGGCACAGGTGAAAAGTGTGGGCTTCTGAACCCGTGGGGAACTGAGGACAGGCACCTAGAACATTCCTGAGAGGGATGCAGAGGATCTGGGTGAGTGATGTATAAAGGGAAATGAGGAGGGATGTGTCAGACAGGGGACACGTTTCTACCTTGCTGAGAAGGAGGACAGTGGAAAAGCAGGTTAAGAGGCAGGAGAATGAGTGGGGCTTAGGACACACCCCATAAGAAGCCATGGGACACCACAGTGGTGGTGTCTCACTGACACTTGGAAAGCAGGCCTGGACCTCAGTGGGAGGCGGGATCAGAGTAACAGGTTCCAGTAGCAATGGGCAGGAGAGCCGAGTGCTCCACAGAGCTGACAGGGTGGCGGTCCAGGACAGTCCCCGCTGGCCTTGGTTCCAGTCTCGCTCTGAGAGTGGTCCCTTGGCTCTGGGTGTGTCTTGCCTTGGTTTCCCCCACAGCACCAGGAGCAGCCCGACTCTGAGTGCTTCCAAGGCGAGGACCAGTTCCTGCGCTTCCTTCTCTCCACGTTGCCTAGCTAGGTGCCAAGAGTGAAGGCGCCCGCCGTGGGGCCTGTGTCTTACGTGGGAACGGGGAGGCCCCAGAGCTGTGCTCACCTTGGGCCTCTAAGAGTCAGTGCTGAGCATGTGCATGTTGATCATGAAGAGTCCACTCCATAGACGTCAGCAGCCTCCTGGGAGGTGGCTGGTGTCTCCTCACTGGTCACAGCTCCTTGGTTGTTGGGATCCTCCTGCCTCAGGAGCCGCTGGGGTGACAGGTGTGCGCCACCACCCCCGGCAAAGTCCAAACATCTGAGTGTTACCTACATGACACCTCCCGGTCTTGCCCATCAGCTTTCCAGCCTCACCTTTGGAATATACTCAGGAAACTAAAATCTCCTCACCTTTGCATCCAGTTTTTTGTCTCTGTAGTTTGTCTCCTTCATCACTAATGCATCTGAAATCCAATCAGTTCTCTGCTCCCTGTTTTGCAATCATCTCCAAGAACCAGGGTGGCTGCTCCTTCCAGCCACTGCCAGGTGTTTCTTTTGTACACCCTGTGAGACCAGTCCTGCTAGCCTGACCTGTCAGCCAGGCCACACATCCGCCTGGCTCTCGAGCATAGGCCACAGCATCCTCCCTCTGGTCCCTGCGAGTGAGCATCACCCGCTCTGTTCTGAAACCCTGTCCATCTCTGTAAAGAGGAAGGACTTCCTGGGGGTCACCTTCTTATAAAACAGCATGTCTGTTTTTTACTTCTTAACCCAACAGTTTAGAATTGCAAATAAAGCTCACAAGTAATTAGGCTGAGTGGGTTCTCCTCTCCATAGTGCCCACTGCTGCCAAGATGCTCAATCCAGGTACAGATGTCTCCAGGTGCTGATGGGCCTTCTTCCCCTGAGGCTGACCCTCCCTGAACCTCCACTCCCAGCTTCTTCTGCCCAGCCAGGCAGTATGCTGCCAGCCCCTCCTGTACAACGTCAATTCAAATATGGGGAGACATCTTCCATGGTCCCCACTCTGAGTCCTCTACACTGGAACAAATCTTCCAAGCATTCCTCACAAAATTCAGTGACTGACCGAACTAGTGACTCATGGACGTGGTTATTGGTCAACCATGGACCCCTGTTATCTTCCCACTGATGTTTCCATTTCCTTAGTGGCTGGCCTCAGAAATGAGGTCACTCTCCTGGTCTCAAAAGAACACACCTATCAAAGAGGCCTGCGGGATACAACAACCAAACAACTAGGATGTTCAAAACTGGGACAGTGTTTTGAAATTTTTCACAAAGGAGTATCAAGGCCAACAAGGCTCAATTTTGCGTTCAGTACTTTATGCACCCAGAAAATGTTCGCAGATTGCCAACTAACCCTCTAAATGGGTAACCTGAGTCGTGCTGCCCTAACATTTCCATGGCCCATCAATCCCACTTGAGCGTTCCCACGTGGCCATGCAGAGCCATGCGGTTCCTCCCCCAGCCCTCGCCCGGGTCTGCTCAGCTGGGCTGCTTTTCCCGCCATGAACTTTGATTGGCAGCTTCTCCAGTTTCCCCTCAAGATTCTGTTCAGAGCAAGCACTGATTTCTGTCCTTCATCTTGCCTCCTGCCATTGGTGACCATGCTCTTCTGAGCCTTGCTCTCACCCACCAGTTGCGGGTCCCTTTGGCCCTCAGAACAGCATCCTTGACCCCAATTGCTTCGTGTGCTGTGATGTGGGGGAATGCTCCCACCCACTCCAGCACGAATTCAGAGGACCGCTTTCCCTCAGTTCGTTTCCCTGTGTGCAGAACAACTGGGACCAATATTTTCAAGTGGTTTTTACCTGTGGCCTCGTTCTCCTTCACAGTCAATTACTTCTCTGCAAATGGCCGCCTGGTCAAATAACCGTGCTCCCAATTAGCTAATTGCAGGCTCAATGAACCACTTGTTCCTCCAAACTTGGCTATTAGAGTTGTGTGATTAAGCAAAAATTAATCTTCTTTATTCCCTTCTGATTCATGGAGCCACAGCAGATCTCAAATTCGGCCTCCTGTGTTCTTTTGCAACATTAATATAAGCCTTTCAGTTTTTATTTCCTTTTGAAAGGAAATAAAAAAAGACTCAGCAGTTACGCTTTGTATTTTGGGCCCCAAGATTAAGTCAGCCTTCTAGCAAGGTGCCCAACGTTACCTTTAGTCCAATTTGTAAAATGCACACTAAGGCTTCAGAACAATTGTTTTGCCAAAGTTATTCGATTAAAACTGCGATTAGACATTCTAAGTAGAAGATGCCACTTTATTTCTGGCAATTCAGGTTCCCACAAAGGGTAAAAATCAATCTTCAACCTCGACTGCCTTTAAAACAAGGCGCCTTTACCCATTCTCCAAATCGCTGTCACTTGATGTCTTGGAAGCTACAAAAAACGTAATTTATTCTGAAAAATTGCTTCAAGTGGATGTCTTCAATCACCCCTTCTCCTACACTTGAGGCAGTTTTGTATGCTTTATTCTAATTTTCTTATTCAGCCAACATCTATAGAACACAAAACATGCGCTCAGTTTTCAGTGTCAACAGGAGGTCATTTCTGGAACCGGCACATTCCTTGACTCCACAGAGAAGGAGCCACCAATCAGGAGGAGCCTTCCCTTACAAAGAGACCGACAGTAATGAGGACTGAATCTATGTGCTTTTAGTCACTCAGACCCCTTTGGTTTCCAGAATTCGCCTTCCAATTAAACACGAGGACATCTCCCAAACAGCTCTTGGTGTGGTGCACCCTCTGCTAGGGGACTCTGGTCTATAGCCACCTCGTCTGTGACTGTCTTCAGGAGAGGGAGTGAGTGGGAAGGACCCTGAGGTCACTGGAGCCACTCACACACCAAGGAATTCTAACTCTCCTTGGTGTCTACGCTGCTTCAACAGTTCACCGATGAAGGGCCAAGTCGAGAGTAACAGCAAAGTCCAGGTTAAAGGGACAGTGGAAAGGAGGAGAGAAGGAAGCGAGGAGAAGACACTGGGCTGAGGCTGACTGGGGCTGCAGCCTCCAGGAAGCAAGACATCCATAAAGCTGCTGCTCCCAGGCGCGTCGTCCAAAGCAGGCTGGTCTGAGCACCAACCAGAAAGGCTGCATGCAAGCCACCAACACGCTCAGGCAGAGATGTGAGCACAGGACAGTGTCCAGGCGAACCCGGGCCTTGGCGGTCACTTACCCAACACCAGCAGCTCCACCGAGTCCTCGTTCTTGCCCTCCAGGTCATCGGGGGTGGTGATGACACAGTAATAGAGCCCACTGTCACCCCACATGAGCTTTCCAATTTGAAGATCTGCATCTGTCACGAAAGAAGGACCCAGTTCTCAAACTCTGTCCTCAGCAAGAAAAGCACTGAGCAGCTGGGGACGGGAGAGGCGTCTGCAGTGTTCTCTGAGTCTGCCTGGATGGCGATTGAAAGATGTTCCTTTATTTAAAACAAAACCAACAAAACAATAGCAGAAACTGGCCTCCCTCAGGTGAGAACCAGAGACGGTGCAGTGGCGTCTCGCTCCAGCTGTGGGAGGCAGGCTTCCACCCAGGCCTGCAGAGGCCCCGAGAGACGGACAAGTTCCAGAATAACCCTGGACTCCTAGAAATCAGCTGATTTAACAGGAATTCTCCACAGTTTGAATAATCAAACAGCTTGTATCAGACTCCTGGAACTTTTTTTTATCCCAAAACTTAGGGAGCAGGAGACAGGGTGGAATTGATACAAAAACCCACGGGGCTCAGGCCACACATCCGCCTGGCTCTGCAACTTGTGTGTGACCTCCCTTCTCCCTGCTTCCCAGGCTGGGAAAGGGCCAAAAAGGCGCCCTCGAGGCTTAGGACCTGGGACTGAAGTTCCTTCACTGGAACCTACTCTGACTCAGCTCCGAACCTAAGCCCTGTCCTCCGCGGGCCTCTGTGCTCCCTGGAGGCCGCACTCGCCCGCCTACGCCCAGCCACTTTCCCCTAGAGCAATCTGCTGGGTCTCTTCATGCTCCCACCTCCTATAAAGTGGGATCTCAGGGGCTGAAAGAGTGAGAGGCTGGTGTCCCCTTGTGTCAGCGGAGAATGCAACTGACCTCCCTCCCTTTTCCTAGAGTCCAGAGAAGGGCATCCGTACCGTGAACAATGGTGATCTCTCTGCCCCTGTAGAAGTCTCCCAGGGTAACAGTGGAGCCCTGTTTTGAAGCCACCACGCGGACTGTCCTCCTGCTGTCCAAACAGTCCAAGTAGGGGTCCCATTCCAGGTTCCTCTTGCTGAGTGACTGGGCCCGAGGGGAGGACATGCCCAAGGACTCCCCCACGCGATCCTGGCAGTAGGACTTGAACTTCCACTGCACGACGGCCGGCCGATGGGAGGAGGTGGAGAAGTGGCATCGAAGCACCGCGGGCTGGAAGAGCATGGCCACCTTCCTCTTGTCGGGCACTGTCACCTGGAGGCCTTCAGCCACGGCTGCAAAACAGAACACGCATGTCCACACAGGGCCACAGCCCAGCCGCCCACCACGGCCCTCCCACTTTACTGCCCCAACCGTTCCTGCCATCTTCTCCATTGGAATTGGTGGCATCCAGGTCCACCTGGTGGTCTTTTCCAGACACCTACTTCACTCCCTAGGTCCAGTCGGTCACTGAGTCTAGCCATCGTGATCTATTAACATTGTTAAGGTTGCCCCTCTCCTCTTTAACCTCACTCCCATGCTTTTGCTTGGGCCTCTGTTTCTTGCCTAGAAGATGATGAAAACCTCCGTCAGATCTCCCTGCATCCCCCCGTCAACATGGGGACCGTCCTCCTTGCTAAAACTCAGGTAACCTTTCTAAATCTGACAGTTCTCTTTCTTAGAAATGCTCCACCCCTCCTCTAGGACCTCGAGGACCCTCAGCAAAGCGTCTAAGGTGCTCCCCACCTGCTTCCTCTTCCCCTTTCAGCCTCAGCTCTTTGAAGCACCTCTACTTTGGCACCAGGCTCCAGAGTATCCATCAAATGCCTATCAGTTTTCCCGACGGGACGAACCATCTCACACCTCCAGGCCTGGATACACGGTGTTCCCTGCTTCTGGAATGCTGTCCCACTTTCTTGGGAAACTCTTCTGCATTCTTCAAAACCCAGCTCAAAGGCTTCTTGACCAACCCAGTTTGTCACGTCCTCCTTTGTGCCATTGGAATATCCAGCATTCTCTTCTAGACATTTATCACAATAACTCTGCCATTATTTATTGTCATTCCCTTTCAGGTAAGAAGGGTGATTACCTTGCTGGCTCATGAAGCCCACAGATACTCAACATAGGTTCCACAAGTAGTGAAAAAGAAGCCAGGAAGTGTGACTTGAAGAGCAGGTGACTTCCCTTCCTGCTGGTGACCAAGTAAAGCGGACAGAGATGAAGGAGAAGAGAAGTCTTTATTCCAGATCAAAGCCAGTAGACTAAGTCCAAAAGCTCTGAAGGGTAGCCAAAAGAAGAACTAAAAAGCAGATTAGAAGTTTAAGTGGCAAAAAGATCCAACCTGAGGCTTGGTGACTAAGCAAGATGGGAACACGGGTGAGTGAGAGATCAGCAGAGTGTCCAGGAGACCTTGCAGGGCCACTATGAACCTGACCATAGCATTTAGACATCCCAGGCTACAAGACCAGAAGGTTCCCAGTTGTGCGGGAGAGTTTCCAGCTTGGGAACATCTGTTAGAAGCAGAAATCGAAATATGACACGAGGCAGAAAAATGGGATCTGAAGACAGAGGGACGAGGTTCCGAAGTGGACGCAGGCACCCAAGGCAGAGTCTTGCCCGAGACCTGCAGTGGGGACCTGGGACACCGAGCAAGGTCTGCTGTCTCAGGTGCCTTGTGTCCTTGCCCACGATGACATCCCACAAAGCCACCCCCTCACTGAGGCTCCCTCCACCAGGGCAAGATAACACATCTCAGGTCTTTTGATTTCCAGCCCAGAGTTTCTCTTCAATGAAAAGCACAACGAGAACCTAGATTCTAATTCCCCTTCGAGAATGGCTTCTCCATTCCATGCAACCTGGAAGTGAACACAAGAAGGATTTGAGATGTATCAGACCTCAGCCTTCTGTACCTACCAGGTGCTCTACAGCTACCTGTGACTGCCCGGGGAACGGATGAGCCCATGGGTGACTGCGACAGGAGCCTGTCCAGGACTCTCCGGGGAAGCTGGTTCATGAGTCACCACCGTGTAGTATAGTAAAGAGCGTGGGCAGCAGAGGCGGGGCTCCCACCGTCTCCTGGCCATGTGCTAGTCCTGAGGCTCTGACGATGTCCACAGAGCAATCTGAGACTCGGGATCATCATCATGCCCACCCCCAGGTCATTAGCAGATGTGACCTCATCAGGCAACTCCATAGAGTGGACTCCACAGAGGGCGCTGACCCGGGTAGCAGGCAGAAGAGAGTGCACCCTGCCTCACCTCCCCACCTCCCGTTCTGAAGCTCCTGCATCCCAAAGACCATCCACCACCACCAGCTGAGATTATAGGCACATTAAACAGATTGGAAACTAGTCCCCACGCTCCCCTTCACACCCCCAGATGTTGTGGTCTGATTCTGCTCTTCCTGACTCACAAGGCTGCATTAGGAAAACACACGTCTGCACGGTTTCCCCTTAAATTCTACTGCACTGATTTTTACACTGATTTTCAGTCTTGAGATTCTTCTCCAAATCTTTATTCACAGCCCAATTTTTCAGATGATAAAAAGGAACAGGAAGGTGAAGTGACTTCAGTCAGAGCAGTTGGGCTGGATGATCAGTCACAGGCACTGTCCTGGGGACACTCTGTACTTGGCCATCTCCCTTCTGTTCCTCTCCCTACGAGGCTCCATGGGTAAAGCAGAGTTCTTAGGCTTCCCAGCACAAATCAACTAGCAAAGGAGACAGGGGCCCCATACGGTGTGGTGGGGGGTTAATGTTCTTTATCATTCATTTATTTATGTTGAGAACGAGAGTTGAGTTGGGGTTTTGTTCATTAAATGACTATGAAGAATAGCCTGCTCCCTGGCTATGTTCTCTGTTAATGAGATCAGGCATTGAGCAAGCAAGCCACTGGACTCTCTCAACCAATTATTAACTAGCGTTAGTCAGTCCTCAGCCTCTTCCATGACAGACACAGACTTGCGCTCCCAAGAATAAGGACTGCTTCCTCAGCAGCCTTTGCTTTTTCACAGCATGACAGTTAAAGGTGCACACTCTGGAGTCAGGCCTGGATGAGAGCCCAGGCCTTACCACTCCAGCCTACGTCCATCCACCTAATAAGGTATCAGCCTCAGGCTGACTGGTCAACTCAGGAGGGAAACCAGAATGACAGTTACACCTTGTGGAGTCGTCTGAGGGTTAGACGACATGCTATCTTAGACACTTAGGAGAACGCCTGGTATACAGTAAGGACTCAGTAAATCTGGTGGCTGCCATGTTGCTGTGGCTGTCAAGAGTAGCCTCTGACTTCCATGAAGCTGTGAACCCAGAGCGGGGCAAGCAAGCTGCCCAGGTGAGATGGGAAGTGTGAACGGGGCAGGACGGGCAGTTACGGCCCAGCCACGCTGGACCTCGTCATTAGGAGTGGACAGGGACAGTGTCCCGCTGTGCTTCTCAGCGCACACTGCTCAGGCACCCCGGAAACCAGGGAGAGTGCCCTGTGTGTGTATGTGTGCGTACGGGCACAGACGCGTATGTGAACACACGTGCGCACTTGTACAAATGGACTACACCAAGGAGCGTTCTAAAAAGCTGGAGAACAGGGCTAGGGATTCAGTAAATGGCAGCTTATTGGATCTGTGAGGACCACAGAGTGAAGACCAAGCTAAAACTGCCAATCCCCGCCTGGCGCTTCAGGTCTCAAACTGTAAGACCAACCAATCCCCAGCCTGCCGATCGCGCTTACCACGAACCCCATCCCCTTGAGACTCGCGTTCCTCCTAGTACCGTGAGTGACATGATGCCCACTCCCCACAGGGGCACTGTAACAGGACAGTGGACTGGGGTGCTAGCCTGCCTGGCCTCCGCCTCCCCACCTCCCACTCTAGCATGGGGCTGGAATGGCTCTGGCCCTGCCCTGACTCGTGGTGAGAGACCGGGTCTCGTGTACCCCAAGCAGCACCTCTTTCCTGCAACCTCTGTCCACCTTACATGGAGCTGCTTCCCCTTGGTGTCCTGATGTGCCACCCCATCCCCCAGTAGGACAGAGCCTTGCACGGAACGCCAGCCTGCTTTCTTGGGGCCCTGGGCCCGCCCCTCTCCTGAAGGTTGGATATTGCTTCCTGTAGGCCTCACACAGGACTGACCCAACTTCAGTGCTGTTATCCACCCGACTCGGGGGACTTCTGCCCCTTCACAGACCTGGCTCTGCAGGGGTGAGGGCTGACTGGAATGAGGATTTCCAGTCTCCAAGGACACTCAGGGTTGACTTGGAGACACCCTCTCTCTGGCTCCCATTCCCAAGAGATCTGCCCTGGGACTGGGTCAGTGTGCTGAGCTGGGTCCTAACTCTTTAGAGCTCTTAAAATATATTTTTTCCCTATTCCAATACTTTCCAGAAGCAAAAAGTGTAATACTTCTTATGCTTGAAACTATACAGGCTGATACAAAAGCATAACTACCACTGAAGCCCAGAGAGATGGATTTAAAAGTTTCTGCCTCTTTGTTAGGCCAAGCTGCTCATCGGACCTAAGAAGCTGTGTCCATCCCTGTGGTTCCAACTACCAGCTTTGTCCCACACCTCAAGTCCCTTAAGCCTCGTTGGTTTGTCGACAAGTGCTTCAAGTGGAACATGGGTAAGCCTCACTGATCATCTCTCTCCACCCAGCTCTTGTTCAGGAGCTCCGCGCCTCGTCCTGAGCTCTTCGGCCTATTTCCATTTACCCTGTGACCCAGATAAATCTGGCCTGGACAATCTCCATCTGACTATATTCAGGTGGTCACCAAGTCTCAGGCTCTCTTGAGCGATCCTTCCCTGTCCCACTGTCACTCCCTTAAATCAGGTTCCTATTTTCTCTTCCTTGACAATAGTTGTCAGCACTTAATGGGTGTCTGAGATGTGCTAAGCTTCTCGTGGCATTTGTTTTCTTTCAGTGCTGGGGACAGAACCCAGGGCCTTGCCCGTGCTGGTCACATTACATCTTCATGAATTCTCTAAACGGTCCTGTAAAGTAGGCCCTGCGTGTTACAGATGGAGACACCGAGGCTCAGCACATGTGTCTGTCCTGCCTAGCAGCTCAGGGCAGCAGGTGGCAGGCTGGAATCCCGGCTGACGGGCTCCAAAGCCTCCTCCTTACCTCACAGTTCATCACCACCAGTGCTTTCCTGTCTACTTCCAGGCTAGGCCACTGTCCGCATGTTTCCAGAGTCTTCTTCTGAAAGCACGTATCGTCCAATCATGTCAGTTCAGTTTCTTGCCTTAAGGTCTCACTGACTCCCCAGTTCCTCCAGGATAAAACCCACACACCTTGACCAGGC